ATCTCTAAATGATCAGATCTATGATATGTGAGCATAAAATCTCTTGTCCTTTTTAGATACCTCATAACCCGTTTCACTGCTTTCCAATGATCTATTCCTAGGTTACTTAAATATCTACTAAGCATTCCAACAATGTACGTAATATCCGGACGCGTACAAACTTGAGCATACATCAGATTCCATACTGCCGATGCATAAGGGATCTTATCCATCTCTTGCTTTTCAACTTCAATTCTTGGGCATTGAAGCAAACTAGATTTATTCCTTTTTGCAATGGGTGTATCTCCTGGTGCACAATCTTTCATGCCAAATCTGCTAAGCACTTTATCAATATAGACTGTTTGTGATAACCCAAGTATACAATGGGAGCGATCCCGATGAATTTGTATACCCAACACAAAAGATGCATTTCTAAGATCTTTCATTTCAAATTTATTTGAAAGAAATCTCTTAGTCTCATGCAACAAGCCTATCTCTGCTTGCTAGTAGAATATTATCGAAATATAATACCAGGAGAATAAACTTACTCCCACTGACCTTATAATAAATGCATTGATCAACAGTGTTTTCTTTAAAACCAAATGAAGAAATCACTTGATCAAATTTCTTGTACCATTGACAGGAAGCTTGCTTTAAATCATAGATGAATTTCTTTAATTTGTATACCTGATGTTTTGAATTAGAAGATTGAAAATTTTTTGGTTGCATCATATATATAGTTTCCTCAATGTTTCCATTAAGGAATGCAATCTTTACATCCATCTGGTGTAGCTCTAAATCATAATGAGCTACAAGTGCCATAATGATTCTAAAAGAGTCTTTCGAAGAAACCGGAGAGAAAGTCTATTTATAATCAATGTCTTCCTTTTGAGTGAAACCTTTAGCAACTAGACGTGCTTTATATCTTTCAATATTACCTATTACATCTCTTTTGGTTTTAAAAATCCATTTAAAATTAATAGGTTTTGCTCCTTTAGGAAATTCAGAAAGATCCCAAACATCATTGTCTTTCATCGATTTCATCTCATCTTCCATGGCTTCTATCCACTTTTGAGAATTAGAGCATTGTTTGACCTGACTGAATGAGATTTGATCATCTTTCAATCCCATATCAAACTCATTCTCTTGGAGATATACAATATAATCATCCGAAATTGTTGTTCTCCTTTCCCTTGTGGATCTCCTTAATGATATTTAAGTTTGAGGTTGTCGTCCTTCTATATGAGTGACAGATAATTCAAGATTATTTTGATTAATTAGATTTACAATCTGAATAATATCAGACATAGTTACCTGATCATTTTCAATTGTAACAGTAGGAATAGTAACATATTCCTCCTCAAAATCAAAATCTTTAATTTTATCACTCCCACTATATTCAACATCCTCAATAAATTTAGCATTGCCCGTCTCAAAAAAGGATTTACTTGAGGAATCATAAAATTTAAAACCTCTTGACCTTTCAGAGTATCCAACAAAATAGCAGCTAACAATTCTTGAGTTCAATTTTCTTTCATTAGGCTTATAAGGCCTAGCCTTAGCTGGACATCCCTAGACATGAAAATATCTAATACTAGGCTTCTTTCCAGTCCACAACTCATATGGGATTTTAGTTACTGCTTTACTTGAAACTCTATTGAGAATATAAACTGCAGTCTTTAAGGCTTCTCCCCAAAGCTATTTTGGTAAAGAAGAATGACTAATCATACTTCTAACCATATCCTTTAAGGTTCTGTTTTGTCTCTCAGCTACACCATTTTGACTTGGAGTCCCCGGCATAGTGTATTGAGAAACGATGCCACATTCTGCTAAATATATCGCAAAAGGGTCTGGACGTTGTTCACCTGATCCATCATATCTACCATAGTATTCACCACCACAGTCAGATTTGACAGCTTTAATCTTCTTACCAAGTTGATTTTCAACTTCAGCTTTGAAGATCTTAAATACATCCAGAGATTCTGATTTTTTATGTATTAAGTTAAGTACTCATAACGAGAATAATCGTCTATGAAAGTAATAAAATGCTGCTGATTATTCCAAGAAGCTATAGGGAATGGGCCACAAATATCAATATGTATTAATTCCAAGATATTTAGACTTCTTTTGACACCTAATTTCTTAATATTCGTTTGTTTTTCCTTAATACATTCAATACAAATTTTAAAATCTATATAATCAAGGGAATCAAGAATTCCATCTAACACAAGCTTTTTAATTCTTTGTTTAGAAATATGCCCTAAGCGCTTGTGCCATAACATAAAGAAATTCTCATTAGTTAATTTTCTCTTTGTACCAAAATTATTTACGTGCAAAGTTTCATTTATCTGTGAGGCAGAAAATCTAATTTATATAGATTAACAATCAAAAAACTTGTACCAATAACTTTAGAATATTGAAAGAGACTAAATTTTCCATTTCTAAATGAGCAAGAGTAACCAGATTTGTCCAAACATGAAATAGAAATCAGATTCCGTCTAAATGACGGTACATAAAAAGTCTCACACAAATTCAAAGTATAATCAGATTTTAAGTACAATCTATATAAGCATACAGTTTTAACAGGAGCTTTATTGCCATTTCCCACATAGATGAATCTTTCAGCATCGGTTGGCACTCTGTTCTTTAGACAACCCTGCATAGTCACACTTATGTGAGTAGTTGCACCTGTATCTATCCACCAAGTGTGATTTGGTACTAAATCTAAATTAACTTCAGAACAAATAAAATTCAGAAGTTTACCCTCTTTGACGAGCTAGTTAACATATTTTGGACAATACTTCTTCACATGACCAACCTTCTTGCAGAAGAAACAAGTAATAACTTAATCTTGCTTATGTTGCACTTTAGGTTGTGAAGTCCCTTTATCTGCAACTCCTTTAATTTTATAATCCCTTTTCTTTTTTGTAGCAAAATTATGAGAGGAAGAAGCTAAGTGAGCACTTTCTACCTTTTCTTGTTTCAATCTTTCTTTCTCTTGCACACACTGAGCAATGAGCTCATTAAGAGTCCATTTTTCCTTTTGAGTATTGTAACTTATCTTAAAAGGACTGAATTGTGCAGGAAGAGAGATAAATTCTAGATGCACAAGAATGTCATCAGACAATTCTAACTTTAATGCTCTTAGTCTTGTAACAAGATTAGACATTTTCATAATGTACTCTCTTATGTTCCCTTTACCTTTATACCGCATTGAAACAAGTTTACTAAGAATAGTACTTATTTTGACCTTTTTAGAGCCTACGAAACGGTCTGCTATTTGGCTTAAAAACTTCTTAGCATTTTCCTCCTCAGGCATTGCACCCATGATGGTATCTGGAATTGAGTGCTTCATGATCATTAGACTCATGCGGTTTGAACGTTCCCACTTTTTAAAATTTGCCCTTTGCTCAAAAGTGCTTTTTGCAGTAAGGGCAAGAGGGCGTTCAGTCCGAATCGCATAATCTAGATCCATACACCCAAGAATAATAGTAATGTGCTCTTTCCATTTCTTAAAGTTAGAGTCATTAAGCACTGGAATGTTATTCAAATTGGCAGATATAGAAGAAACATTAACTGAAAAAGAACAAAAAATAATACACAATTAGCAACAACATATGGTGGGCCCTTTATAAGATACATAACACAACATTATAATTTAGTCTTTGGACAGAAATTATAATTTGTAAATGATACTCTTAAAATTATAGTTAATAAATATTGATAATAAATTCTGCCAATAATAAGCATTTCTTTGGACCGAATTACTATATGCATTAATAATTTTAAAATTATCACATATTTATAATTATATCTTTAGAGTCCGGCAAAAAAATAATCTTCCTTTGGGCCAATTACTTTTCGCATAGACTTGAAAATTCTTTAGCATTATTCAAATATTTTAAATTAAATAATTGATTTAATAGAGGTCACTTTGGTGACATATTATTTTAATTTAATTTAATTTTGAATTAATGAATAATTATATGAAATGAAAATATTTGTTCATAATTTAATATGGAAAAATTATGATACCACAAGAATATTCTTTCGGAATTTTGTTACAAATATAGTACGGAAATTATTTAAATGAAATGTATATGTAACCGAAAACCTAAAACCAACGCATCGATTCACATACAACGGAAAGGTAACTAAACGGAACATAATCCACAACAACAACAACAACAACATCAAGCCTTTATCCCACTACGTGGGGTCGGCTACATGAATATTTTTTCTCTATTGTGTCCTATTAAAAGTCAAATTCTCGTTTAAATCTAATAAAGGAGTCCTCCTATCATTATATGCTATATGTAAATTAATGGATGATTTTTTTCATTGGTTTTATGCTAACTAGACGCACGTCATGATATAACCAAGGGGCTGTTTGGTTGCCTGAAAAAGAAATGCAGTGTAAAATAAATGCAATGTAAAGTAAATGTAATGCATTCTAAATACTTTGCACCTGTTTGGTTGTCTGCAAAATAAATGGAGGAGAATTATTTCCTTGTTTGGTTTGATAAATTCAGAGTAAAGTAAAATCAATTTTTTTATAATAATTTATTCTAGCATTATAACTAGTATATTTATAAAAATAATGTATTTATAATAATTAATATTATTTGATGTTATAAAATATAAATTAGTGTATTCATTTATTGCACGATCTTATTATAGTTTTTTTTTAGATTATAAGATATAAAATTATTCTGTGTATTAATTTAGCAGTGTGTTGCAATAGACGAAAATATATTTGTGTTAGAGAGAATTTTTAATCTAAAATTCTTTGAAAATTTAAAATATTTATGTTTCAAGTAATGTTTTTACGAAAAAATTTAAAAAGAATTAAATTTTCAATCTGATTTCTCTCTTTAATTTAGCAATAAAAAAAATTCGTTTAGCATAATGAAAATTTACAAATAAAAAAATACCCATAAAAATTTTCGTTTAGCATAATGAAAATTTACAAATAATGAAAATTTACAAATAAAAAACAAAAGATAAAAAAATACCCATATAAATTTTTCCTCTTATGCTTTGAATTATCGTTCATCTCTGTTTGTGACGAATTCATAACCAAATCCTAGAAATGATCAAACAGTCAATTTAACTACTGATTTTAAATCGAACTGCAAATCAGTAGATATCAAACATGCACAAAGATAGTTGAACATGTAAAGGCTTCAAAGAGTTCCATTAGAAATGTCTGAACCAAAAAAATATGGATAATTTAATTGGTTCTCCCGTACTTATTGTAAATTGAACGTTAAACCAAAACTATAGAAATTGTTGTTCTTTCGGCATGCTCCCCTGTTTTTGAGGGCATGCTTCTGCATGATCTAAAAGAGAGAATCTTCTTCAATCAACATTGAAGATATGTCACTGGATTCCTACTCTGCTCTCTTAGGATACATTTATGGTTCCATAAATCAAGAAGATTTTTGGAAGCACGGGCTCTCATTGCTTGGTGCAGCTAATAAGTATTGCGACACTAAAGGATTGCTGCGAGGAGAGCCTTCTTGAGGATCTGAATGTTAATCTTTATATAGTGCTTTCATAGATATCACATAAAGAAAACGCACATGATAGCATCAGCCTTTAATGTTAATCTTTAAGTTGCTCCACATAGAAAATTCAAATTTGAATCAATCAACTGTTCCAGATCTCACCCTTCCATGTGCCAAATGGGCCATAAATGTTATGGAAACGCCCTATTCGGCATTCAATACCAAGGTCCTTTGTATAGTGCTTGCACAACTCCTCACTTGCAAGCTTCTCCAAGCCATAAGCATCTTGAGGCTACAAAAAGTTTATTGGAAGCAAAATTTTTGGTGTAAGATTGAAATCATTCAAAAATCATTTTCTCTTCTGCATGTGTCTTGTAAGAGTTCATTTGATTGTTTGCAGATTAAAAACATAATTAATAAATAAAAAAAACTTCATTTTTATGGCATTTGAGTAAGAACTTCCAACCAAATAACTGAATCTAGTATATTCAAAGTTTTCAAATTTTGTTTTCTGACTTTAGACAGCCAAAGGATACAGGTAATTTTTGCAGATAGAAACAACATACCTCAGCTGGCCACGCATCAGACTCCTTCAGGCTCACATTAGTTTCCAACTGCTTGAATTCAGGGTAGATACAAGCACTAGAGGCATAGAAGAATCTGCATCCCAAAATTTTATAAATCATACAATATCAAACCTATGCATAAAAATGTTTTAAAACGCAGAAACAAACGATTTGACATGAATTCAGGTACGAAAAATTATGTAAAACCCAACAAAATTTTTTTTTTCCCATAGCATTATGGAAAGAGAGATCTTCACTCTTTCCTTTTTTTTTTTCTAATTCACAGCAGAGAGCGTGAAGCTTCACCTCTCATCCGCCGCCAAGAATCCTCAGGCTAGCGAGAGAAGGGGGAAATGGAGAATAGGAGAACGATTAAGCATCGGACGTTTAAACAGGTTAACACGGATTAAGACGCACGTCATCGAAAGGTACTCTTAGCGTATTAAGATTTCTACCTCGCTCCCGCGCGTACACGCGTCGTAGCGGCCCAACCTCCGTGGCTGTCGTGACACAGACGATTCCGATGTCACACCTACTACAACTTTTCCAACCACATCGGGCGACCTAATCGCGCTCATCCACCTCTCTCGGCAGACATGGTCAGATAAAATATCCACTGTTAGGGATCTTGGCTGTTTTTTCTTTTCGGGTTTTGTTGTTCTGCAGCTGTTTGCTATCGACCACCACTGATTCTTGTCAGCAAAGTGGTTGCCGATAGAGGCTGAGGTGACTTAATTTTCTTTATAAAGTTATGCTCACTTTCTTTAGAGATAAGTATAGGAATTTTTATTTGCCTCCTCCCCACCTACACATGCTCTACGTTCGGTATGCCATGATAGCGACACCTGGTCAGGCTACTTTACCCGAAGCCGACCCGACGAAGATTGGTAATAATGGCAACGTGCGAATTTAAAACTACGCCCGACTAACTGACTCCGAATATTATCACACGTGGACACCGAAAAAATGGCTTTGGTTTTCACAACAAACCTTACGCGTCACATCAGTCATCATTCGCGTTGATATACTTCATCTTCTCCAACCGCGATTTCTTCTTTGCTGTTTATTTTGTATGTCTTCCACAATCATCTGCCAGTTTGCTTTTACAACGTGCCTCTAGGTTAGTTTATTATTTGGATTATAAATGCCTACCCTTCTTCTTTTGTAATATTTTATGTAGGGTTTGACCGAGGCGGTACCTTGATGCATGACTATTTTTGCCATATGAGAAGTACAATATGAGCTAAGCAACTGGTTCGGTATGCTGGGTACCAGCGTACGAGCAATGTGTAACACTCGGTACTGGCTCGGTTATTGCTATAATCGTAGTTATAACACATTAAGGTATGTATAAGCTTGGTGTAACACTCTCGGTACTTGCTCGGTACCTATTGAATGGCTTGTGGGATGCTGAGGCATTAACTAAAAACTCGGTATTGCTCGTATTTGCTACATGGTCGGTATAAGTCATATATGGTAAGGCAACTCTCTCCTTTGTAATATTTAGGGTTAGGGTTTACCGAGCTAACCGCGCGCATTATTTGCCATGAAAAACAGTATGGTAAGCATACAAGAGCATTGTCACACCTCGGGTATTGTCGGTACTGCTCGGATACCGAGCTGTACCGAGCATAACTATTAAGCTTGTATTGCTCCCGTATTTTGCCTAAATGGTCGTAATATCGAGTCGATAATGGTATGTTAGCTTTAGCTAACTGCCTCGGTGCTGGCGTACCGAGCTGTACCGAGCATTACTAACACTCGTATTGCTCGGTATTGCCAGTAATGGTAGCATAAGGCTTATCTAACAGCTCGAATATGGCTCTGTACTGCTCGGTTACGAGCAGTTATCGAGCAATATTAGCACTCAATATTGATCGTATTAGTTATTAGCATTACTAACGATTGATATTTCGCAGGGATATACTCCAAAGATTCATTTTCGATGCCGGACTTCGACTTTTAGAGAAAGTGTTGTAATATACTTGTTAAGAGATTTGGAGATCCTTTGGTTGATAGACTGCATCAGTTGCAAATCAGCCAGTTCCTCGGCTTCTCTTATGCCTCAAATGTTCCCAGTATGGTATTATCGAAGTGGGATATGAAGACTGAAAGTTTCATTATTAAAGGTCAAAGTCTGAAATTCACATCTATGAAGTTGCATTACTGATGAGGCATGGCGAATAGAGGTATTATTTTGACATTGGCAGTGCCAGATCCAGTGGCAAAACCTTTCAAATGACATCGCCACGACATTGAGAGGATGAATAATAGCACTCCATGGATGTATCTCGTGAAATGCTCGTCCTTTACCTCCTATCAACATATTTTATCCAAGCGCTAACTTTCGGATAACCATTAGCTATCTTTGGAACTTCTCAACACTCTTGATATGTTTAATCAGTACAACTGGCCTGAATAATTAGGGGATTCCTAGTTGAAAGAATTCAACGTTGTTGCTAAACAAAACAAGCCAAGGGATTTGCTTTGGGTTATATAAATGGTTTTGTAATGATTAATTGTGAGTATTGTTTGTTTTGTTCAATAAATGTTTGATTAATGTACAAAATCTATAACAAAATTAAATTGCCTTTATTTTCTACAGATTTGGTTTCTTGAACAATAAACTAGTATCGAATATAATCACATCCCAACAGTCATAATCGATTCTAACCGAGACCATCACCCAAAAGAATTCAACAAACAAACATCCATTTCATCTGTTTCAACATCCCAATGCAAAATGTGGTCATCAATTGCCCGTTCTTTAAATAACTTGATCAGTAAATTAGTGTCTCCACTCTCAAACTTTGCTCTTCTTTCTTTTTGGATATGGTTGTCGCATCCCGCTTCGTGATCCAAGATTAGCCACAACCTCCAACTTCATCAGATAAGGTACGTTAATGCATCGACAGTTCTTATACCCGGGCTTCTGTCATAGATTTCAAAAACATCTGCATTATCATCACTAATTGACTTAGCCGACCTGAGCAAATGTTATCATCCCGGCTAGCTAGTTCGTGATTGTGACTCTCTACAGATTTATTCACTGACAAAGCCATCTTGACTCACCCGAATCTAACCATGGCTGGACATCCTGTTCTTGTACATGATCTCGATATTTTAACTTAGTACCACTTTCATCTCCTTCTTGAAACCTGTTTTAGAACACACAAAATCCTTTGATTTGATAACCTTGTATTTGGTCAGAAATGGTGATGTTCTTTCCGAACACTAAATCCAGTTGAATGCGCATACTGGCAATATTTTCATACACTTCTTTCTCACAATTGTAAACACCCTAATAAATATTCATACATCCATATTAGCTTTGATATCTAAATATCAATCCAGACATTAAAAACCATTTTGATACCGAGGTACCAGCGGTTTATGCAGTATATCTCGGTATATACGATCGGTATCGACTTACTAATATGAAATGATCGGCACTACGACGTATTATATTAATTAGCTCGGTACTAGTGCTAACCGGGATTATACCGAGCTTTTATAATTAAGTACCTGACGTAATACGATATATAACTACTCATACGAACCTTATACACGAGCTAAGGAGTTCAACTGTGTATTGCTCGGTATTGCTCGGTATTGCTGGGTACAACTGTGTACGATATTTTACCTATCCATTATAATCAGTAACCGAACGTATACCGATCTATAATATAGAATACGACCTAATACGAGCTAAAAAAGCTTCATACTGAAAATTATGTCACACCTTGATCAGTGAAATTCTCCGGGCTAAACTAAATTAATATGGTTGTATTATTTTTGTAGTAGTATTTGAGTAATGATCAATACTACTACAACCGAAGTTTGATACCCATTAATGAAACAGTAAAAAGTAGAAAAAAATAAACATTTATACATAATAACTTACTAACATTAATCAGAAAAAAGCTTCATCGTAGCTTAAAGTCTGAGTTTCCTCGCGAAATACAACTTCATTCATCGATCCTTCCATCTCTAAAATACTTAACGATTTCTTACTTCAGGTATATGAAAATAAGAAACCGTAAGACTGTAGAAATCTTAGGTTTAATACAAGAAGGTTTTAATACCAGAGTAAAAGCCGGGTACTTTTTACTTTTCCGCCCATTTCATATACATTACAGACGGGCCAACCCGAAGAATTTTAAAAAAACGTGGTAAAGCATATGGGCTAGCGTCGGGTCAAAATGGGTAAAGTAGGCTGCCAGGTGTCGCGTTATCACGGCATAACGAACGTATGAGATGCGTCAGGTGGGAGGAGGCAATAAAATTCCAAAATATAAGACTGAAATTTCTTCATATTTATTTTTCATTCATCTTCTCTTAGCTCCATCTTTAGATTCTTTCCGAGGTAAATTTTTTATTTTGATTTATATATATAGAATGAGTTTGGGCTTCCTTTTCTGATCTCTGCGCTTCTCTTAATCTTGTTCGCTTTCTGCTATCCTTTCCGAGTTTTTCTTAATCTAGATGTTCATGGCAAAGAAATTGCAGGTAAAAATGTAATCTTTGTGCAGTATTGTTTGTTTTGTTTTTCTGTTGCATAAAAAATAAGCAAGTGAACCATTTTTTGACCTAGTGTTTTTGTTCTCGAATACGATGGATTCGTCGATGAAAAAAGCCATATGCTTTCTGGAATTATTCGGAGATATTAAGAATTGCGACATCTCCACTCAAGATTTAATCTTTTACTTGTTGAAGGAAAATTTCTTTGCTTTTTCGAGTTTCTCCTGTTCTGAGATTTTGTTTAATTCCTCCATATTAATGCAATGACGAGTTCTCTGAAATTTAAGCTTTCCCTGTTCCTTTCTTTCAATTGAAAAGTATTTCTTGTTAAAATTCATCTGAAAAAAAAAAAAATTACAGTTGCCTGTTCAGTATTCTTTTTTTCCTCGCATTACTTCCTTTTGGTGAAAATAGAAGTTAAGCCATTGTTTTGTAACCTTAGTTTCAGAATGGATAGCACTGAGAACAGTAGAATCAACTATGGCGAGCACACCTGCTAACTTGGAGAGGGAGCCTTAACTGGCCTTCAGAGAAGCTTCTTATTTCGATCACCGGAGCTGGTGGCTTCATTGCCCTCACATTGCAGGCGATTGAAGAGTGAGGGACACTACATCGTCGCCTCGATGGAAGAAGAATGAGCACATGACTGAGGATA